TGCTCGTGTTACCACCGTTGTTGTTCCCAGCTCCGTTGTTATTGTTCAACACGACCGGCAAAGCGCCACGGACGTCCCTCAGCTCGCCTCGAAGCGTGGCGCACTCGCCCCTCGCTCGTTCCAGCTCCCCGTCAAGCCGGGCGCCCGTCGCTGCGTTCTCCTCCACCATCACGCGAAATTTTGCCTGGAAACCGAGGGGACAATGCACGTTAGACGGTGGCCGAAAGTGGGAGAGAGGCGAAGGTGAATGTTGGTTGAAAGGGGAGAATGTTAATTCCCCGGTAATGAGCAGCAGCAGGAGTATCTTGTTATCTCCAGGAAAGAATTATTCATTCTATTGTGCGGGATGCGAAGGATGTGAAATCTGTTTAAGTTGACGGATGCATAGAGAATGGATTTTATTTGTAATTAGGGATTTTGTAGATATTTGTACGAGTAATTGATGTAAGGAATATTGCATATATTTGATGTGATGGTGATATGATGAAAATTGAACTTGAAATTGAAATACATCTGAAAATAAAAAGTTTAAATGTATTGTAGAAATACATCTGAAAATAAAAAGTTTAAATGTATTGTAGAAATACAATACATTATAGGAGAAAACGATTATTTTTATATTAACAATTTAAGAAATGAGATTTTTGAGTTATAATACTATCTATAATATTTATAATATTACATGATATATCTAATATATTGGTGATAGATCAATTTAAATCATTTTAATTTTGTGTAAATATTATAAAAGTATTGTATAATTTTGGTAAGTATTTTTTTCGAGATTGTTGTATTTTAATAATTTTATTATATCATTAAATAACTATGTTCATTAGTTATATTCATATAAAATTAAAAATTGTCTCGTTTTGTGTTTAATTGCTATGATTTATTATTTATATCGCTTTCTAAATTGGGATAAGAATATTTTGTAAACATCATATATCATAAAATAAATTTATTGTAAACAATTGTATAAAAGCTATTTATTTTAGACACTCCAAAAATCAATATAACATTTCTACTAACTTAATAATATACTGATATCATCCCTGTCAGATGCAAAAATGTCTTCTGGAGTAAGGATATGAGATGAATTTCTTTATATTATTTTTCTTATAAAAAATTAATTAAATTGTTTCTTTAAAAATATCTTTAAAAATACTCTAAAAGTACGTAAGATTTTTAATCTTAGTTTAAAAAGTGAAAGAGTAGAAGTTCAAACATTTTACATGTATTGAAAAAAATGCTAGACAGAACATTGTAACTAAAAAGTAAGTAGTTATTATAAGTGATACAATCTTTTATTTGAGAAAACTTTGATCAAAGTTAAAATTTGTTTGAGATAAGAATAGAATATTTAAATTTATACTATATTTATACGAAATAAAGCGAATGATATAGTGGTTATATATTAGACTATTATCGATCTTTTGATGAATTTTAGATTTAGCAGTAAAATTTTCTAGTTAATTCTTTGAACCATAAAATTTATAACTTCGAGTACGTAATAAAACAAGTAATAAAAGAGTTTCACTACCACTGAAAGTATTGACTCCTTAATATATGTGTGAGACATGGATAAAATAAATATTTATTATTTTATTATTTATTTTTTCTTACTGATCTCTAATATCATTATTTCAGAAATTATTGTATTTTATAAAATATGTAATTTATTTATTTTTTAAAAACAAAGATTTTAAAAAATTTGAGTTTTAAAGAATCATTAAAAATATTATTTTAATATTAATATTAA